CCAGTGAGTTTGTAGGTCAGCTGGGGCAGCTCTACTTCAGGCCACAATGGCTGGGATGGCTCTGCTTCACACCATGGCTGGCTAGCCAGAGCATGGTCTTGTCATGACAATGGCAGAAGCACAGGAGAGTGGCAGGTAACATGCGAAGCTTCCTAAGGCCTAGGCTCAGAATTAGTACGATGTTGTTTCCACACACATATCCTTAATCAGTGAAAGTCACATGGATGAGACAAAGTTAGTTGTCTCGGAAGTACTCTCCGCCCCTCATGAGGCTGTGGGGTAGTATAGTCTAGGGAAGGGTGAGAAATTGTGGCCCGTAATTCAATGTGCAACATTGTTTGTCATCATTTTAAATTTTCTCCCGGTGGGATTGCTGCCCAAGTCTCTTTGCATTCATTGAATTCCTTCTAGTTTCTGAGCTCTTTTTCTCTCTTCACAAAATACCTAAAATACCTAAAAACAACCAGCTCACTCTGGTGAGAGCTCCCCATCTGTACTCTGAAGCTCCCTTTTTAGGGACATTTTTGCCCATATAGATGAGGTATTTTTCTTCCCTGTAGCATTTTCATTAAACAGAACTTTATTTGCCTTTAATTTCCTTGAATTTAGCCAAGATAAATAGCCAAAATTCATAAAGTCTTTCAGGGAGATGTCATTTTTTATAAAAATTGGAGGTTGGTCGTACCTCTGTTCCTTGGAGGAACAGAGGTTGGCTTGTATTAGGGGAACTCTTGGAGATGAGTAACTCCCCACATGTCTCATAGAGGCTGGTCTAGAATCATCTGGATTCACATAACCAAGTTTGGGAGGCCTTAGCTAAGCATTAAACTAGTTATAAAAGTGGGAATTTGCCATGTTCTAGCCCCAAGGAACAGAAGTGGTAGAGAGAGAATATAATCAGAATAGAATGTCAATAAAACTTTTGCCCCTCCCCTGGATTCTGAAATGTGCATAATCCCAAAAATCAGTGCTTCAAACTGGGGGAGGTGGGTTCAGAAATATGTGAATTGGAAGTGCATACTTCAAGAATTGAAGATTTCCCAGAAAAGGAACATGATGATAGTGGTCAGAAGAGGCAATTTCCTTCCTCTTTTCTAATCTTAACTCCAGAATCCTCTGCAGAATCCCTTCAATGTCTGGCATGTTGCAGGTCTCACTGCTCCCATCAGCTGTGGAGATAAGATGTGGCTTTTGACTGCTCTGCTCCTTTCGGGTAAGTTGGGCTAAGAGGGGTAGCTAGAAGGGTACGGGGCTCTGCTAATAAGGGTTCAAGGTTTTTCTTGTCTTCCTTTGGTATCCTGAGCTAGAACTTAACAGTATGGAGACAACTGTGTGTATGCTGTTTTGTTGGTGTTTATATTTTCAAGAGGGTGGGAAGGGGAACCATAAGGCAGCGTTAAGCCTAGAAGCCCCATGTCAGTAACCACCGTTGGGTTGTTTGGTTCTGCTGGTGCCCTGATTTTGGGAAAGGGGGATAGGGAAAAACTCAAGAGACGTAGGCCGGCACCTCAGAGTCTATATTTATGATGTCTCCCCATCTCTCCCTTCCTCATTGTCTCCTACTGACCAACTAATGTTTCTATTCTCTGGTCTCTTGCAGTTCCAGGTGGTGGACAAATGGGTGAGTGATCTCTACCTCAACTTCTCTTCCTCTGTCTCATTCCTGCTTCCAAAGGATGGGAAACATTATTCTGAAGAAGGAAGTGTAAGCAGAGGATAGAAAGGAGACAGATTTATAATTTATTTTAAATCCCCTATTTCAGAGTAGAGTCCTGAGTGGTGCAAATGGCTAATGCTCTCTCTGACAACCAAAAGGTTGGAAGTTCGAGTCCACCTAGAGGAGCCTCAGAAGAAAGGCAGGGTGATCTACTTCCAAAAAAAATCAGCTGTTGAAAACCCTGTGGTGCACATATCTACTCTGACACACTTGGAGTCTCCATGAGTTGGAATTGACTCTATAGTAACTGATTTATATTCCGAGTGTGATTTTGATAAACCTTGGTTTTAAGGTTTCTTTCTAAGGTTTTCTGAATGAGCCCTGACCTTTGGAATAAATGCCTTAATGTTTATATGATGGCAGGAAAGGGCCAGAATTGCAAAAACATAAAGGGAACTTTGCTGGGTTTTCCAACATCCCCAGAGCCAATCTCCTTTAGAAGAAAACTGAATACTTTTTTCTTCCTCAGAGAGAGCCTGGCCGCTACTGAAGGCTGCAAAGGGAGGAGTTTGAACCTTAGCTTCCGATGCAAATGCTAGTTAAGGCTGCGATTAACCCTTGGAGACAGTACAGCACGAGGACAATAATCCAATCAGTTTGCCCTGTCTTAAATCCTTGCTTCATTGCCTATAAATGGTGAGACCTAAAACAGTAATTTAATCCTTAGGAACCCGAAATCTCCAACATCCAGATGAGGATTTAATAACATGAACAGAACTTTTTGCAGCACGGTCTGGACACTCTTAAAAGTCAACTTTGGTAGATTCCCACTTGCCTATTTTCCAGTCTAATCTGTCATTTTTGTTCCTTGGGCTATCCACAAAAACTTACCAATTGCCTAGAGCCCTTTCCTTTTACCCTAAGTCTTTTTTTTTTAATTCCCAAACAGACTCCCCAAAAGCAGTGATCACCTTGCGCCCTCCGTGGGTCAGCGTGTTCCAAGGGGAAAGTGTAACCTTACATTGTGAGGGGCCAGGTCAGCCTGGAAACCACTCGGCCCAGTGGTTTCACAATGGCTCAGCCATTCAGACCCTGACGACCAATTACAGCTTCACGGCTGCCAGCATCACTGACAGTGGTGAATACAGGTGCAAGACAGCTCTCTCGGTGTGGAGTGACCCTGTGCAGCTGGAAATCCACAGAAGTAAGTATGGTGCAGAGCTGGAGGGCTGAAACCACAAGGTCTTCCTTTGCATTTTCTCCTTCCTTGGTGCTGGATGGGTGTATCAGTTTATCTAAGTACGAGTCCTAGCCCATATGGGCTTACCAGGTCAAATTAAATACCACATCCGGGTCCTTAAACTGTGCCCCAACAGCACCCCAACTGGGTAGGGTATCTAGAGTAAAACTCAGGCGACTCGTGGTGCAAACAGTAAAACACTACTACTCGCCTAAAGGCTGGCAGTTCGAATACACGCAGTGGCGCCCCTGGAGAAAGATCTGGTGATCTGCTGCTGAAAGGTCACAGCCTTGATAACCCTGTGGAGCAGTTCTACTCTGCACACGTGGGATCTCCTCGGAACGGAACCGACTGGACGGCAACGAACAACAACAAGAGTCAAACCCAGGCCCTAAGAGTTCCCCATTATCAAAACTAGTTCATTTTTTGTTGTTGAAAAAAGTTACGTCTGCACATAGTAAAGAATAATTCAGAGAAATGTACAATAATGGATAATGGAAAGTCTCTCTCCCACCCCAAACCCCCAGTCCCGAAGTTATCTTTCACAGATACAGAACTGTTAAATAGATAAACTTTTTTTTTTTTAAATCATGGCTTGTGTAATACTCTCTCTATACTCTATATTGTATATACTCTATATATACTCTAATGCTTGTTTGATACTCTGTATACTGTCCTACACCTTACTTTTATCAGTTAAAATCTCTTGGAGTTCTGTTGGCTTAGTCTGGGTTCTCTAGAGGAGCAAAACCAGTGAAATGTATATAAATATACACAGAGAGAAAATTACTTCAAAGAAATGGATTGCCCAATTGTGAGGAAATGGCTTATGCAGTTGTCGGGGCTGGCAAGTCCCAAATCTGTGGGTCAGGCAAATAACTGAAGACCTCTGCTGACTCATGTGCTTGCAGGGGCTGATGAACCAAAACTCGGCAGCGCAGGCAGCAGGCTAGAGGCCTCTGCAGGCTGCATCTCAAGAGCTGAACTCATGCGAAGAGAAGAGCGTAGGGTTGAGGAAAAAAAGAGTGAGCTTCTCTTTTTTTCTTTTTATATACTGGAGGCAGGCAACATCCCCAAGGAATCTCCCCTTTCAACTAATTGACTGCTCACATCAGATCACAAAAAGAGGATTACATGGTGTCTGCCAGACCACTGAGGATCATAGCCTAGCCAAGCTGACACATACCGTTAACCATCACATCTGTTTATATCCATAGAGAGCTACCGCATACTTTTCATGTATGCTGTACCATAATCGATTTAACCATTCTCCTTATTAGTCCAGGGTGTTTCCATTATTTTGCTTTTACAAGCAAGGCTGCAATAAACATCTTTATACATATAGTTGGGGGCACATTTCATAGTTTATCTGTAAGATAAAACTCTGGACCTGGAATTACTGTTTTCAACTTTGATGAGTAGCAGAAGGGAAAAAACTCAAACCCGCTTAAAATCTGTAAGTAGTTTTCATTTGGTAAGAGATGGAGATTTTAATACTCTTTAAAACAAAATGTTTCATGATTCAGGGCAAACTATCCAAATGGATTATGTAGTTATTTGAATAGCAATGACATTTTTGTAGTTGATAATGCAAAAGTTAATGTGTGCTGGAGGCAGAATTACATTTCTGCATACTAGATTGCTTTGGGAGGAAATATGTTTTAGTTAAACAAATGTTAACGTCGGAGGCAATGCTGGGTGTTCCTCATGTGTCCTTTAGGCCCCTGGGAACCAATCACTTGGATAGGGAGCCCAGGAGAGCAGAGAGAACTGTTTTAACAAGAGACTTTGTGTAGTTTGAACAGAAGCAGAGGTGTTTCATGGCCCAAGTGACAAAATAAGGATTAGAGCTGGGAAGAGGCCATTTTCTTTGCCTCTGCACAGACTCTAAACCCCCAGCATTTGGTAACTTATTAAGAATAGTGTCTTTTTGCATTGCATTTTAACGTGAATTTTTATTGAAGTATACCATACATGCAACAAATCACAAGTGTACACTTCAATGAATTTTCACAAAGCAAACAACACCCAGGTTAAGAAATAGAACATTACCAGAATGCCAGAAACTCCTTGCCAGTCTCTAGTCACCACGCCAAGATTGACTTCTAACACTATAGGTTTTTGCTTATTTTTGAACTTCCTATCAATAGATATAATGTGGTAACGTATGTTCTCTTTTGTGTCTGGCTTCTTTTTGTCAACATTATGATTTTGAGATTCATACATTTTGTGAAGTTGTAGTTCATTTGTTCTCATTTCTGTATGGTATTTCCTATTTTTCCATTCTACGGATCAACTATTGGGTTTTTCTCAATTTTGCCTGTTGCAAATCGCACTTCTGTGGACATTTTTGTA